TTTCTCATTCTTCCAATAACCTGACTTATCTCTAGTAATGTAATAGGTCTAGTAAGCGGGTGGGTATCTTCAAGAGTTGAAGTATCGATGGAAGGTAGTGGTTGTAGATCATCCAAGTTCTCATCTCTCCATTCATTGACCAACTGATAATGATTATTATTAAATTGACGACTGTTATTGTGGGAGAGAATTTTCTCCCATACATCACCCATCAAATTAGCCTGGTCCTGTGGACCGTGACAATCCCAATGCAGCTGAACAAGCTAGACCAAAACCCACACACTGTTCCCTCTGCCCCCCACCCTCCATATCACAAACCCCACTGCTACAGCAGCTCCCTACGGGCACACTGCTCTCGCCCCCCCCATCACAAACCCCACCCACACCACAAACCCCCATAGTCCCCCCCAGGGCTCCCACTCCCCCAACCTCAATATTCTCCCAGGTCCACCATGATAGACAAGAAGCTGAAGGTGTGGTACACAAACGCAGATGGAATAGAAAATAAATACGAGGAGTGGCATGAAAAGAATCAACGAGAAGTCCCCAGACGTCATAGCAGTCACAAAAACGAAACTCACTGAGACAATAACAGACGCAGTCTTCCCACCGAGCTATCAGATCCTGAGGAAAGATAGAAGGAGCAGAGGGGGAGGAGGGGTTGCACTGCTCATAAAAAACCGATGGAGTTTTGAGGAAATGGAAGGCATGGACGAGATTGGAGAAAGGGGCTACATAGTAGGTACAGTTCAATCTGGGGAAGATAAGGTAGTCATTGCAGTGATGTATAACCCACCACAGAACTGCAGGAAGCCAAGACAGGAATATGATGAGAACAACAGAGCGATGGTGGATACACTGGCTGAGGTGGCACGAAGAGCTCAACCGTGCAGAGCAAAGTTACTGGTTATGGGTGATTTCAACCACAGGGAGATCGATTGGAAAAACCTGGAGCCTCATGGGGGCCCCAAAACGTGGAAAGCCAAGATGATGGATGTGGTACTGTAAAACCTCATGCATCAACACATCAGGGACACTACCAGAGAGAGAGGGGAGGATGAACCAGCAAGATTGGACCTTGTGTTCACTCTGAGTACCTCAGACATTGATGACATCACATATGAGAGGCTCCTCGGAGCTAGTGACCACGTAGTCCTGAGTTTTGATTACATAGTAGAGTTACAAGTGGAGAGGGGAACAGGAGTCGAAAGGGAAAAGCCAAACTATAAAAGGGAGGACTGCACAGGTATGAGGAACTTCCTGCGGGAAGTGCAGTGGGACAGAGAAATGGTAGGAAAGTCAGTAAATGAAATGATGGAATATGTAACAACAAAATGCAAAGAGGCAGAGGAAAGGTTTGTTCCCAAGAGCAACAGAAACAATGGGAAGACCAAAGCGAATCCTTGGTTTACCCGAAGGTGCAGGGAGGCAAAAACTAAGTGCATTAGTGAATGGAAGAGGTATATAAGGCAAAGGACCCAGGAAAACAAGGAGATCAGTCAAAGAGCCAGAAACGAATATGCACAGATAAGGAGAGAGGCCCAGCAATGGTACGAAAATGACATTGTATCGAAAGTCAAGGCTGACCCGAGACTGCTGTTTAGCCACATTAGGAGAAAGACAACAGTCAAAGACCAGGTGATCAGGCTGAGGAAAGAAGGTGGGGAACTCAAAAGAAACGATCAAGAGGTATGCGAGGAGCTCAACACGAGATTTGAGGCAGTATTCACAGTGGAGACAGGAAGGACTCTGGGAAGACAGGACAGGGGGACACCAACAGGGAATAGACCAACAAGTGCTGGATGATATGCACACAATTGAGGAGGAGGTGAAGAAGCTGCTAAGTGACCTTGATACCTCAAAGGCAATGGGACCAGACAACATCTTCCCGTGGGTCCTCAGGGAGGAAACAGATATACTGTGTGTGCCATTAACCACAATCTTCAACACATCCCTTGAAACTGGGCAACTACCTGAGGTATGGAAGACCGCAAATGTAGTTCCCATTTTTAAAAAAAAGAGAGAGAAACGAGGCGCTAAACTACAGACCAGAGTCACTGACGTGTATAGTATGCAAAGTCATGCTCTCAACTCATTAAGCATAAATTGTGGCATGCTTGTGTCAGAAGCCAGACACAGGTATGGTAGGATTGTGGACAGTGGAGTCAGAGTGCACATGCTGTGGATTCCATCTCACATTGGTCTTCAGATGCATGATAGAACTGATAAATTGGCTAAGCTGTATGCTTTCAAAGAGGGAGTAGATTACAATCTTGGCTTGTCAGGTAGTAGTTTGAGAACAATAATACGAAAAGAACTTCAGCTGAATTTTATGGACTTAAGGCTCAGGGAGATTGACACCAGTGAGTCCATCTATCATCATTCTATCATGCAGGAGGAGCCACATGTCTATGGTGCATCCAACAAAATAAGCAGACTCTTGGATGTCACTACCGCCCGGCTCCGGCTGGGTTACAAGTATCTTTGGCAGGTTAAATCACCACCACCAGATGTAGACCAAACGAAATGTAAACTTTGCCAGATGGATTATTGTCACAACCCTGCGTCATTATGTACTGGAGTGCGATAAAAATTAATGAATTTAGAAACAACTCACTCAGAAGTGTTCAAGAAATGGCTAAGTATTTTATCCACAGTGGTATATTACAGACCATTCTGGAGAAATACCCTGACTTTGCTAGCTGTAAATAAAGCATTACCACATATGTGCATGTGTGTGTGTGTGTGTGTGTGTGTGTGTGTGTGTGTGTGTGTGTGTGTGTGTGTGTGTGTGTGTGTGTGTTTGTGTGTATGTGTGTGAGTGTGTGTGTGTGTGTGTGTGTGTGTGTGTGTGTGAGTATGAGTGTGTGTGTGTGTATGAGTGTGTGTGTGTGTATGAGTGTGTGTGTGTGTGTGTGTGTGTGTGTGTGTGTGTGTGTGTGTGTGTGTGTGTGTGTGTGTGTGTGTGTTTTATGTGTGTGTGTGTATGAATTTGTATGTGTGTGTGTGTGTGTGTTTTGTGAGAGAGAGAGAGAGAGACTCAGCAATCAACATTTGCACCAATAACTCACTACAGTTGTGACCGGGTGTGGAAGTGTGAATTGCTCATTACTCTAAAATTTGTTCATGATTGCAGCCATGTATAAACGTAAGTAACCATTCTTACAGTATTCATTACCTTTGTAACTTGTGAGTTCATTACCTTTGTAACTTGTGAGTTCATTACCTTGTACCTAGTTCAGCCATCAAAACTTTGGAGCCCGGTCCCTGGACCCATTGTGTACCTCTGTAATCTGTAAATACCTTTGTAACTTGTAATGATTGTGACTAGACCTACCTGGAGTTCATTACCTTTGTAAATTGTGAGTTCATTACCTTTGTAAATTGTGAATTCATTACCTCTGTAACTTGCTCAGCTATCAAAACTTTGAGGCCCAGTCCCTGGACCCATTATGTACCTCTGTAATCTTTTGACTACCGCCCACAGGATGGGTATGGGGTGCATAATAAACATATTAAACTAACTAAAAGTCATGGAGATTATCAGGAGAGTGGTGGAGCACCTGGACGGATTCACGGAAGGCAGATCCTGTGTCACAAACCTTCTGGAGTTTTAGGACAAAGTTACAGAAGTAAGACACGAGAGAGAGGGGTGGGTTGATTGCATTTTCTTGGACTGGAGGAAGGCCTTCGACACAGTTCCTCCCAAGAGACAAGTGCAGAAGCTGGAGGATTAGGCACGTATAACTGGAAGGGCACTGCAATGGATCAGAGAATACCTGACAGGGAGGCAACAACGAGTCACGGTATGGGATGAGGTATCACAGTGGGCACCTGTGACGAGCGGAGTCCCACAGTGGTCGGTCCTAGGATCAGTGCTATTTTTGGTATATGTGAACGACATGATGGAAGGATAGACTCAGAAGTGTCCCTGTTCGCAGATGATGTGAAGATAATGAGGAGAATTAAATCTGATGAGGACCAGGCAGGACTACAAAGAGACCTGGACAGACTGGACACCTGATCCAGCAACTGGCTTCTTGAATTCAATCCTGCCAAATGCAAGATCATGAAGATCGGAGAAGGGCAAAGAAAACCGCACACAGAGTATAGGCTACGTGGCCAAAGACTGCAAACCTCACTCAAGGAGAAAGATCTTGGGGTGACCATAACACCGAGCATATCTCCGGAGGCACACATCATCCAGATAACTGCTGCAGCATATGGGCGCCTGGCAAACCTGAGAACAGAGTTCCGATTTCTTAGTAAGAAATCGTTCAAGACACTGTACACTGTGTACATCAGGCCCATACTGGAGTATGCAGCACCAGTTTGGAACCCACACCTGGTCAAGCACGTCAAGAAATTAGAGAAAGTGCAAAGGTTTGCAACAAGGCTAGTTCCTGAGCTCAGGGGAATGTCGTACGAAGAAAGGTTGAGAGAAATCGGACTGACGACATTGGAGAACAGCAGGCTCAGGGGAGACATGATAGCAACATACAAAATACTGCGTGGAATAGATAAGGTAGACAGAGACAGATTGTTCCAGAGATGGGACACAGAAACAAGGAGTCACAATTGGAAGCTGAAGACTCAGACGAGTCAGAGGGATGTTAGGAAGTATTTCTTCAGTCATAAAGCCGTCAGGAAGTGGAATAGCCTAGCAAGTGATGTAGTGGAGGCAGGAACCATACATAGCTTTTAGACGAGGTATGACAAAGCTCAAGAAGCAGAGAGAGAGGACCTAGTAGCGATCAGTGAAGAGGCGGGGCCAGGAGCTGAGTCTCGACCCCTGCAACCACAATTACGTGAGTACAATTAGGTGAGTACACACACACACACACACAATCACATTACTATTATATTTCACTTTTATTATCTAATGATAATTCAGGTGCAGTAAAACATCACTAATTTATAGAGTTAGGTTGACCCCATTATTTCTTGTCATAGTTGAGATATACAAATATGAGATCATACAGTGAGATGTTCTCCCACAGCACCAAGTACGGTATATACCAGCCTAACTGTGGTCTCCAGAACGTATATATCTCCTGGGGTCATGATGAGTACATGTATCAAGTACTGAAGCATAACAAGTGTACACTCCCTGAAGAAGCCTTTTACATTATCAGGTAAGAATGTATCTAAGTCATTATTATATTACTTGCTACAGCCAGGCTACATAGAGATAATAAATTATTGTTATTATTCTGCTTACGGGGAGACGCTAACCGCGTGTGCGTCGTCAGAGACTGCAATATTTGACGTAATCTTTACTAAAACAAAAAATAAAAAGAGCACCGTAAATTTGTGCTGAAGGTGAGGTCCTCATCAGCAGGTAGTTTGCTTAAACCCTCAGTGTGAAGCACAAATATACACACTCTTATCTCATTTTTGGGGGGATCACCATTGATAATTGTTTGTCACTAATGTTATTATATGTTTGTGTTTGCAGTTATATCACAAGTTAACTGTTAGTTCTTATTCTGCCAAAAATATTCACCCACATTTTATTTATTCATTTATTACCTTCAAAAGTGACAAAACATTTGATATATGTGTCCTTGTACATGTACTTGTACATGTACTTGTACATGTACTTGTACATGTACTTGTAGAAATAAAGATGTTATATTATGATGGTTCAGATGACTGACTCGTCACGTACACTTCTTCTAGTATATTAAGCTACTTCATGTAACCATAATTTTTTTTCCTCTTCAAATAATTAAACCTTGATTTATAGAATAGGCCTATCAGCTAATAAATAAATAAATAAATAGTTTTGACAAAACATTTCACTTTCCTTTCATTGCAATCATAATTCAGTCATACAGTGTATGCTGCACTCAGTCTATCCATGATTCAAGCAAGCACTACATGCTGCACTCAGTCTATCCATGATTCAAGCAAGCACTACATGCTGCACTCAGTCTATCCATGATTCAAGCAAGCACTACATGCTGCACTCAGTCTATCCATGATTCAAGCAAGCACTACATGCTGCACTCAGTCTATCCATGATTCAAGCAAGCACTACATGCTGCACTCAGTCTACCTATGATACAAACATGTAGCACGTTTCTCTCATCTTACCCATAATACAGCAACACCTTGTATATTCTTCCATGGAGGTCTTTCAGATTTGACTTTTGCCTTGACTTGTAAATATTGTAGCCCCTTCATAAAATACTAACAAAGAGGCTTCACTTGTATACGTAATGTGATTTTTTGCTTTATATTGTGCAGGTTCCACTCGCTATACCCCTGGCACTCTTGTGGGGACTACATGCATCTCTGTGACAACTACGACCTGAAGATGCTCCCGTGGGTACGAGAGTTCAAGTAAGTCCAGTCACTGTTAATTAACATCTTCATTAACGAGGTACAATGATAAATCTGGTTAAGATTATAAGTAAGCTTTATTTAGATTTAATGTACAAATATTTTTACAGAGTGATGTTTTGAGTTTCTACAATGTTTGTATTATTAAACACATGATTATAATAAATCCTAGGCTTTACTTAGACTGTTGATAAATGGTTCAGAGAACCGACAAGTTGATTTATTAGATTCATGTGCAATACTTGGGTTTCTTTGTTAAGGAAACATTTCGCCACTGACTAATGAAGTCACTGTGGCGAAACGTTTCCTCAGTAAAGATATCCAAATGTTGCACATGTGTCTAATTTATTTACATAGAATAACCCAGTGAGGAAAAATAGTTTTATTTATTTGCAGTGTGTAAACTGCAAAGAATTTACTATTCTATTAAAAATGTTGTAATCTTGTATGCTGTTATTTTTTTTTTTTTACTTCAGCAAATTTTGGGACTTGTACACACAAGAAGGAAGAAAGTCCAATACAGAAGAACTGAAACCTTTTTATCAATCCCTGATAGATAAATACTGCCCAGGAAGCTGAAATGGTAAATTATAAGTGTGACGGGGAATTTTTTATAATTTTTTTTTTATTTATTTTTATTTGGACATGATACATAATTGTACAAAGAAATATAGTGATTGGGTGTACATACCAAAAGCCCCTTGTATGCAGAGCATTATGGGCAGCTTAAAATTAACTTAAGATTAACAAAGCAATGAATATTCAGTGGTAAAAATTATAGTAAACAAATTAAACATGAAGCACAAATGAATATTTCAAATAAGAAGCATTAAAGTTGTTCAAATTTGAAGCATAACAATGTATAATATAATCCAATCAGATCGAGTAAAATCCATGATTTGTAGAGCAGAAACAAGTAAATATGGTCATTTAGGGTCACAGTTATACATTTATGAGAAACAATTATTCAGTATTTATTTAGTTGAGGGTGAGTAAGTGATTTTAAGAAGAGATTTGAATTTATAAACAGACGTGTTTCTTGTATATTTCACAGGTAATGAATTCCCGATTTTTGGGCCTTTTATGTGCATTGAGTTTTTGCATAGCGTGAGATGGACACGAGGAACATCAAAGAGTGACTGTGCCTTTTTGTTATGGTCATGTGTTCTGTTGAGTTGGTAAGGAGACGTTTAGGGAAGATTTATATCCGAGTTAATGTTCTATGTATGTAACAGGTGCAGTAATAAGTATGGATGTTTTGTATGGTGGGTAGGTTTAGAGTTTTGAATATTGGTGGAGTGTGCTGTCTGTAGTGGGGAAATTTGTTATCATTCTGCTACACCTTTTGTTGGGTAATTAGTGGTCTGAGATGGTTTATTGTTGTTGAGCCCCATGCACAAATTCCATAGGTGAGATAGGGTAAAAATGATGATATAAAGGGGCCCGGAGGGGTGACTGTGGAACATAGTACCGTATCTTCGATAGTAAAGAAATACGGTCTTGGAATTTGTTGTGCATGTGTTTGAAATTTTAGTCTATTATCAAGGTGGATTCCTAAGAATTTCCTCTGTGACTTTGTGACAGGTGATCCGTTTATCATTATGTTAAGAGGAACATCTGTAGCTCTGTTACCAAACTGAATGTGGCAGGTTTTGTCAATGTTGAGAGTAAGTTTGTTAGTCATCACCAGGTAGATATTTTTGGTAATTCGATATTTACAGTATTGGCTAGCGTGACTGGGCTCGGTTGAGAGAAGACGTATGTAGTGTCATCTGCAAATAATGTGGGTCTGAGTAGTTTTTCGTTGCATTTGGTAGGTCATTTATGTAAATGAGAAAGAGAAGATGGCCAAGGACACTTCCCTGTGGGACACCAACTGCAATTGGCCCGTGTGGAAGAGTTTGCTCATTTGTGTACACATATTGGCTTCTGTTGCTAAGGTATGACTTCAGGGAGTTGAGGGAGTGCCCTCTTATACCATTAGTGTGATAATTTTATGTTTCAGCAAATCATGGTCAACTGTGTCAAAAGCTTTACGTAAATCAATGAAGATCCCCCTGGGACTTCTTTTTTCTCGAGTGCAGTGTATATTTGTTCAAACATATGTATAAAAAGCATCATTCGTATTTTTATTAGGGCCCTTTAACCCAAACTAACAGGGGGTTTAGTATGTTTTTTTAGATGAGGTAGGAATAGATTTTGCTTGTGAATTAGTTTTTTTCAAAGATTTAAGAGAGTGAGTGTAAGTTGGATATTGGCCTATAGTTATTCAAGTTGTTTTTGGGCCCCTCTCCTTTATGTATCCGGGGTGACCCTCGCTAGTTTGAGAACTGTAGGGAAGGTAGAGGGTTCGATGGATTTGTTAAAGAGTGTTGCAATGATTGGTGATAGACTTGTGAAGCTTTTTTATATATAAAGGGTGGTAAGGTATTTAAATCTCCTGTCTTGTTCTTTAGTGTGTTGATAATAAGTGAGACTTCTGTTGGGTTACTTGGAGCTAGGAACAGCTTGTTCGGGTTTGGTTGGGTTCAGGTTCGGGTTTGGTTAGGTTCAGGTTCGGGTTCGGGTTCGGGCTCGGGTTCGGGTTCGGGTTCGGGTTCGGGTTCCAGTTCCGGTAGGTGCCCTTATCAGACTGGTTAGGATAGATGAGTAACGTTTTGTTTGGTCTCTGGTTATGTGACCCATTCTGTACTGTTTTTCGTATAGGTGCTTTGTATTTATGGATTTGAGGATGCTGGGTGTTAGCCAGGGACTGTTCAGTCTCTTAGCTGTCATCTGTTTAGTTTTTTAGGGCAGTGCTTGTTATAGAGGCATTCGGTCTTTTTTAGAAAATTATTAATACATTCGTCAGTATCTGCATAGATTTCTAGCTCAGTGTGCCAGTCGATGTTTGTCATTGCTGTTGTAAAGTTATTAATGGCTGCCTCATTATGAAGTCTGAAGGTGACTTTAGTAGTGTCTTGGGGTAATTTACCTAGATTGGTTATGAGAAAGGTAGGGTAGTGGTCTGTGGTATTATCTGTGATTATGCCTGATTTTAAAGGGAATATGGTGTTGGTCCAGATGTGATTTAATAGGGAAACACTAGTCTCTGTAATTCTTGTAGGTTTTGCTACTGTTGGTAGCAACAAGCAGTTACTCATAATCTATGAATTCAGTTACATGTGGGTCCTGGTCTTGCAGGAGATTTATATTGAAGTCTCCTGAGAGTAGTAAGTGATCTTTATTCATGCGTGCATCAGTTATCATACTTCCTAGGTTTTCACTGAAACGACTGATATTTGACTGTGGTACTCTGTAGATGTTTATCACTGTGAGAGGTTTTTGTAGGTATTTGGATTTGAATTTAGCTATTATATATTCCCGATGTTCATCCCTTGTGCAAGTATTATTGATACATTCTAGTTGGTCTGAGTAGTATATAGCTGTGCCACCCCCTTGTTGATCTTGCCTACAGTTGTCTATGGCTGTGTAACCAGGAATGGCATAGACATCTGTAGTATCTGGCTCTAGCCAGGTTTCGGTGAGAGTAATGATGGACATACTGGCATGCAGGGAATTTAGTAATGCTGTGAGGTCATCGTAATGTTTGTTTAAAGATCTGACATTATAGTTAAAGACAGTTATGTTATTGTTGGCTCTGAGAAGTGCCTTTGTTTGTTCTGCTGTGTAGTAATCACAGTTGCTGTTTGATTCATTTAAGTCATTCAATAAGAGGTTGGTATCAGGATCAATGCTTGTAATCATAAGATTTATAGTGAATCTATAATTAGAATTAAGTATAAGAGAATGTAAATATTCTAAAGCTAAAAAATAGCACCTGAATTATTTTAACAAATGTAAATATATGAACTAAGGCAGTTCTTTAAAGATAAAATAAAGGAGACAATATAAAAGGGACTAAAATAAGTAATGGTAAACAAAATTAATAAGACTGATAGCTACCACGAATAACATTAATTTAGAAGTAAGATTTGACTTGCAACACAAAATTTGAGCAATTAATAGCAATAAAAAAGAAGTAAAAAGTATTTGAGGTAGTAGGTACTAGCTAGGAAATGAAAGTACAAGGAATTGCACAATAATGTAATAATAGTAACATACACTATATGCACCACACGTATATATGTGTTAAGGACACTTTTCTAATCTGCTACAGAAATGTCAGCTTTTCTAAGGAAGGTAGAGAAATCATATTCATTTGAGATGGTATATTGTTGTCCTGTTGAAGTTTTTCTAACTAGTATTTTCCCATCTCGAGTGAAACACTGATGTATTTTGTTTTCCAGTTTAAGTTTTCTCAGCCTGAACAGAAGGTTTTGACGTTTTCTCGTTAGACACTCGTTGATGAACACTCCATTTTTCATTGCAATTGCTGATTTACTTAGGTCTTTTTTTCTATCATATGAATGAAGTCTGATCATAATACTGTGTTTACTACCTGGTTTTCCTAGCAAACGTGTTTCTTTGGTTTCCTTGTTTTGCGGAATAACTCGTACGTGATAATGTATTATCCTGATAGCAGTTTCTTTGCACTGTTCTTGGGTTATGTCACTAGGAATGTGTGGGCTGTTTATTATAACTGCATCAGACAACTTGTCTTGTTCGGTTTTGTCATCTTGGAAATCAAAGTATTCATTCAGTCGAGTGTGCGTGTTCTGATTCCAGTCCTTGATGGCTATGTAATGATTTAGAGAATATCAATACCACTGACATACCACTTTTTTGTTTTAGTAAGATACAGCATATGTAGAGAAGTTATGAAGTTATTGTCAAAACTTTATCTTTATATATATTAGACAATTTGTAGTATACTAACAGTGTGGAAAACAATTGATAATTTTCCTATTATCTGTGTGTGGTAATTGAGAGGTTAGTGTTAGTTTAATATGTTTATTATGCACCCCATACCCATCCTGTGGGAGGTAGTCAAAAGATTACAGAGGTACATAATTGGTCCAGGGACTGGACTCCAAAGTTATGATAGCTGAGCAAGTTAC